CCTGGAATAATAATAATAATAATAATAATAAAATAACGTCCACGAAATCCGCAGCCGCTAATGAGTGGCCCATGGCGGTCCCCCGATCGGCTCGAAAATCAGTCCCCCCATCGATACTATTCACGTGAATGGTGGCGTTCTCTATGGCGGCTCTGAGAAAAACCTGGCGCTCAGGAGGCGCGGTGCCCTCATGCAGTTCACGAAGACAATCCCTCTTCGTGCGCGCGAACGCGTTCGTGCCATCGAAGTTCGCGAGCGCGCGCGATACTCGCGCGTCTCGACACCTACAGGCGGCAGAAGAAAGAGCAAGCAGGCAGCCCTCCCGACGTCGCCCTCTGATACCCCCGTGTGCAATGTCTCGTGGTACTGGCCTCTTCGTGCGCGTGAGAAGCTGCCCATAAAAAACTCATGCCGAAAGCGTCATAACAGTGTAGAATCCTATGGCCCTTGATGCCGTGCGACCCGTTGTGCTTGGGCTGAATAAAGGTGTGAGACCGCACTGCGCTCATGGGCATGAACTGCACCATTCTGATGAGGGTAAGTAAATCATGCTATATACGAGAGAAGGTGCGCGGGGCAAAGTAGTGCGCACCGTCATCATTCGAATACTTCTTACGATCGATGGCCCTCAATAGTGCTTATATATATAATCCCCAAGCTGGGCAGACTCGACGCTTCGGCGCCCGCCGAAGGTGCTTGATTTGGCCCGCGCGGTCTGTCTGTGCCTGGTCGATTGCCAGTTCTGGAGGGACAAGCTTGGGTAAAAACTGATAATCTGCAGCAAACTCGGCCCATTGAATAGGCACTGCTCCGAGCCCGCCGTCTTCAGCTTTCTGTGCGAGCCCACTTGTTGCTTCATCAGCTGCCATGCTGTGCTTCGTGCCGAAGATGAACCGCTTCTTTGGCCCCCTTCCCGCGCCTGACAGAGAGGTCTTCAAATGATGCACCTGCGCCCAGTCACGTCGCTTCCATGCGTGCTCGAGTTGTTGAGCAGTCTCTCTGCGTCGTTCCCACGTGTGCCGTCGGCGCGAAGCTTGTCATTCACGAGTGAGCGATCCAAGTTGTCTGCAGATTTCATCGTAGCTAGCTTGATGCGGGTTCTCCTGGTCGAAGGCTTTGCTGCCTTCTCGCCCTAGTCGCTCACGAAGTTCTGCTCGTTGTCTGATCAGCGCGGCCCTCTCTGCGCGCATGTGCTCGTACTTCTGAGAAGGATGTTCCCCTGGTGGAAAAACTCGTTGCAGACTTTTGTGGGTGCTGGCCCTCAGCAAGTCCCATCCAGTTTGTACGTCGCCTTGCTCCCACATGTGTCTCCATACGTCTTCTGGAATATCTTCGGTGTTCTTCTCAAGTTCTCTCAGGTACTCAATGCGCAGATGGCCGTGCACATGTGCGCCCATTATGGAGCCCCGATGTACCTGAGGGTGCTGAGCGCCTTTGTGTGCCAACTTCGTGCGGATGTCTAACTCCATGAGCAGTGGAACATGGTCCTGCGGCAGAGTGGTCACGCGCCGTTGAAGGCGCCGTCCGAGCACTCGAAGCGTCTTGATGGTAAGGATGCGCTGAATGGACTCGGTGGGCACGATGTAATGTTCGATCTTGCTGCTAGCGGCACCGCTGAAATATGTTGGCCCCGTATCCCAGAAACAACTTGCAATTGTCATGTGGTTCTCCTCAAGCGCGTCTCGAATGCGCTGCGAAACTGCTGTCTCCATCCCTGGGTTTCTCATCCCAACTAGGTGATCAGCTCGATAGTACTTGCGTCCAGTGGCGTCTCTTCGGATGCCGAAAGAGCAATTCAGATCTCCTCCCATGATAATAAAACATTGATGCCCAAGCTTGTCAACTGTCTCGGTGAACCATGTCATGCACCTATCGACCGCCTCTTTCAGTAGCGACGGCGTGGTGCCCTTGGGCGGCAGGTGTACAGGAAAGGCTGCCACCGTACTTGCTCCAATGCGAAAGTTGGCCATGGCGATCCGCCCTGCAATGCCCCTGGACCGTGGTGGGAACAGAGTCTGCTGCAGAGTGCCCTTCATCTCCGCGTTGAACAGCACCGCCAGTCCGCATGAACGGTTTGACCATCTTGAACTTCGGAACCCAAGCTGCACGCACGTGTGGTTCGGCAAGCTCGTCTGCTTCACGTCCTCGTCCTTCATTGCGGCACGCCCTGTGCCGTTGAGCATCAGGATGTCGACTGTCGGCGTGAGAGCCGATATTTCCTCCAGCCGAGTGTGATCAGCCCATTCCACATTATGTGCCAAAACTCTCAAAACCATGGCGAGAAAGATTCCTGCGGGTGGAGGGAAGGAAGGGTTGGAACTGCAGGCCAGCCTGGGCCTGCCGCCCCGCATGTTAGTTACCTCCACCCATGGGTTGTACGGTGTGGCAGGTGTGGTGGGAGCTCCTGCTGTGCTGCGAGCCACAGCAGCTCCTGGGAGGAGGCGGAGGACGAGGAGGAGGAGGAGGAGGAGGAGGAGGCGGAGGAGGACGAGGATGACGAGGAGGAGGAGGAGGAGGAGGAGGAGAAGGAGAAGGGGAAGGGGGAGGAGGGGGAGGAGGGGGAGGCGGAGGAGGAGGAGGAGGAGGATTTTTTGTGTTCCTCCGTGGGGCGCCGAGCAAGCCAGCTGCGAGGAGGAGGAGGAGGAGGAGGAGGAGGAGGAGGAGGAGGAGGAGGAGGGGGAGGAGGAGGAGGAGGAGGAAAAGGACGGGTCGCCTAAGCCCTTCCGAGAAACCGTCCACTGGCGCCCGCGGACTGAAAAGGTCTGGTCTGTCGCCCCCGCAGGGGGAGCAGCCTGTTCAACCACGGGCCCGCGGGGGCCAACGGAAGTGTGGCGCTCGAAAGCCTCGGGGCGTGCCTTGCACTTTCTGGTTGGGCAGCTGGTGGCACATCGCCTCAGGAGGAGACTCCCCAAGCGCGCTGATAGAAAAGCCCTGTGAACGCACGAGGGCGCAAACCTACCCGAGTAAGGGAGGAATACCTGCCGTTCCATTTTGGGATGGGTGGCCTCCAGTCCTGTGGGGCCGACCCAGTAGCCTCCGCGGAGACTTCGCGCGACAGCCTCGGAGACGGACCTCCAGGGTCGTTTCTTGTTGGGCAGGGCGGCGCACCCTCTGAGAAGGCATTTGGGAGGTGACAGGGGGGGCCGTCTGAGGAGGCCGGCAACCCTCCTAGAAACACGCCAGGGGCTTTCGAGAACAAGGGGCAACGTCAGGCGGGGGGCCAGCTCTTGGGGAGAACATCGAGCTGGATTCGGCGATGCATCGCCGATAGGCCCCCGATTGGAAATGCGCACGTTCCTGAGCGGTGTGGGCTATCAAGCCGACATCGGCGATGAATCGATTGAGGTATCTGGGTGTCTTTGGCTGTGTTATGTTCATGCCACGTCGGGGCATGCTTGAAAATCTGCTGCAGACGCCGCGACCCAGAATCCTGGAGACTTCTCTGAAGACCCTGGAGACCTCTCGAGATCAGTACCCCCGCCATCGCCTGGTCGCTATCCCGAATTCGGGGCTGGACAGAGCCCCCTTTAGTAAAACGTGGTTTCGTGAAAACGACCTCGGGCCCAAACCTAGCGGGCACACGCCTGAAAAATGACGGCCGCGGCGCCATCTCTAGCACCGAAAACGGACAATTCACTAATCGACGTGTCAGGGTGGGAGGTCTGTCCACCCCCGACAAATATTGCTCTGGAGTCTCGGCCTCTGAGGACCGTTCTCAGGCCCACATATGATCAAAACACGCGCAAACCTCCACAGGCTCAAAATTCGCAAATCCTCCGGCATAACATAAAATAATTGCGAGAGTACAGTGGACCTCGAATGAAAAGAGCGATCAGCATCCAGGAATGACCTCGACACATACGTAAAACAGTGCTGTTGGGGATACATGGTCTGGAGCTTGCTGGAAAGCCCTCCATGCCCACAACGGGGCCGTCGCCAGCGCCGTCGCCAGCGGAGGCTCTTGCAGACGACGCGGTGGATGCCCCATTGACGTCGTCGTCGTCGTGTTATCGCTGATGCCGTCGTCGTCGAGGTCAACCCGCTAGCTGAACATACTACTGACCTTACGTACAATCGGACCTGGCGCGCCGACAGCGGTGATCCTGCCGGCCACCAGGTGCCTCCACATCTTCTTGGTCGCCGCCGTCGACTTCTCGTCGGTGCCGTTGCTGCCGACGCCGTCATCGTTGCCCCCGCCTCCTTCGCAGCCGAAGCGCAACTCGCTGTCGCCGCCGCGCTGCCGTCGGCACCGTCCTGCGTGCCGCCGCCGCCGCCGCCGAAGCCAGAGGCCAGGCCGCCTGCGGACCGCCGCCGCCACCGTTCAAGACATCCGACGATGTGATTCCTGCAATGTGTGGGACCAAGGGTCCCGACCCGTTGCCCAGGGCCAGCTGTTTGCCCCGGCACCATTCTTGACGGTCAGTGGGCTCGATAGAACGGCCTTGGAGGCCGAAATCGAAGAACAGCGCATTGATCGAACAGCCTCCGTGTAAACATAGTTTCTCTGGCGCTGGAGCTGGAGACGCCGCCAGGGGGGCTCAGCGCCGATCCAAGAAATCCGCGCGGAGCTCTGGGGTATCAATTATTATTGCGTCGTGTTTCGGGGGCTTGCCAGCGTAAAGGAGACCCAGGCCCAAGGCGCCCCCAGCTTTTCGCTCCGCCCTGTAGCTCCTGGGCCCCGCGGCCCTGGTGAGGCGTGCTCCTGAGGCCGCGGGCGCCTCCTCGGCAATCCTGCTGGCACCCTGGGCCGGGGGGACCTCTCGGCAACACCCGAATCTGGCCATCGCTCGGACGTCTATTCCCTGTTTTTGTTTAGGTCTCGTGCTTATTCTTTCGCCAGATGGTCGAGGATGCTCCTCGAAGGTCCTCGCCGAGAAAGAACATGCACACGTCCGAGCGATGCCAAGGACTACGCCTTCCTCGGGAGAAGAGCCCCGAACCGAACAACTCAGCTCGTCGGAGATCTGGGGGGAATGGCGCCGCGCCGCTGGCGCGGGCTCCTGCCGACCACCCGGTTGAGGACGGGCTCGGTGACGGCGGCCAGGGCCGCAGCGACCACCTCGCGGCGCGCACGCGCTGGTCGAGACGGTCGCGGCGGCCCGGCGCAACCGCGCGCTGCACAGGCGTCCCGCCTCGTCGCCGCTGGGCCGTCTCTGTCGGCGGCGTCCTCCTCGTCCTCCTTTCTGGCCTCTGCCTCTCCCTCTCTCTCTCTCTTTCTCTTTTTTTGTTCTCTCCCTCTCTCTCTCTCTCTCTTTCTCTCCCTCCAACTCCATCTCCCCCACCTCCCCTCGATGTTCGAAAGTCACGGCGGGAGGTATGTGACGGCAGTTCTGGACCCTCACTGGGCCCAAGGGCCGTCAACAATTGACTCAAGATGAACAACCGGGCCTGGGGAAGGGATCCAGATTTCTGGGGGTCTTCGTTGTGACAAAATCACGACCAAAACATATATGGTTCCACTTCGTCCCTCCTCGTCCGCCTTCGTCCTCTCCCCGTCCAGATGGGGGAAGGGGGGTCCGTGGAATGCGAAGCGCGAATGGGCCTCAGTGCGCGAAGAGACAAAGAGGCAGCCAGCAAAGCCGGGACCACGATCGATCAAGGGGCCGAAGAGAGCTAAGAAAACGACCGGATTGCAAAACGTCCAGGGACCGCCCCGACGAGAATCACGAACGCGACAACTGCGAGAGGCAGGCACTCCAGCCGGAGCGAGCAGCTGAGCTCCAGTGCCGTGCCCTCGAGGTCATGAGCAGAATCGGCACAAGAACGGACGAGGAAGTAGTAGCGAGCAGAGACGGGAACGGGCGAGGCTCTCAGGCCGCCGCCGCCGTCGCAGTGGCCGCAATGGCCGAAATCACAGCCAACGCCGCTGCCGCCGAAATCGCCACCATCGCCTTCGTCGTCGTCGTCCTCCTCCTCCTCCTCCCCCTCCCCCTCCTCCTCCTCCTCCTCCTCCTCCTCCTATCCCCCTCCTTTACATCCTCCTCCTCCTCCTCCTATCCCCCTCCTCCACCTCCTCCTCCTCCTCCTCCTCCTCCTCCTCCTCCTCCTCCTTCCTCCTCCTCCTCCTCCTCATCCACATCCTTCTCTTTCTCCTCCCCCTCCTCCTGGTCTGTCTTTCTCGTTATCGTCGTCGTCGTCGTTGTTGTTGTCGTCCTCGTGGCCGCTCCGCGCGCGGGGGCGCTCGGGCGGCGCGGTGGGGCCGCCGCGGCGAGGGCCCCCGCCCAGGCGCTCGCCTCGCGCCCGCGCGCGCGGGCGCGCGCGGGCGCGAAACGACGTGAGGCTGCCGTGTTGTGTATTGAGACCTCCTCCTCTTCCTCCTCCTCCTCCCCCCTCCTCCCTCCTCCTCCTCCTCCTCCTCCTCCTCCCCATCCTCCCCTCCCCCTCCTCCTCCTCATCCTCCTCCTCTTCCTCTTCCTCCTCCTCCTCCGGTGGTTGAGGGGGGCGTCTCAATCACTTCCGTTCCCGAACCATCTCCCGCCAGTCCAACCGAGCCTCCTCCATCCCTCCCTCCACACCCGCTCTGGATCATGAAGGGGCCCGTTCTGCTTCAATATGCAGGACGTCCTGCAGCGTAGACAAATCACGCTTGCGGCTGCCAGGTCGTCCTCCTGCAAGTCTCAAACTCAGCCTCTGATAGGCTGCCAGCTTCCTGGTTCCCCATGCCTCATATACCTCCTCTACCGAAGCCCCACTGTGTTCATTGAGCTTCCTCTGACGGTTCGCAACACTGTGTCCTCATCTGGTTCAACATCTGCGCACCCCGTTCCACCCCCCGTTGTAAACACTCATGTAGTCGTTCTCGCAATTCACATCGCTGTGCAAACAATGTGAATACGTCGGCTTTACCCTGATCATCGAAAGATCTCGTTTCCGTTGTCGTTTCGCAACAGTTGTTCAGCGGACATGCTGAGAAGGAGGAGGACGAGGAGAAGGAGAAAGCAGCGAGGAGAGAAGAGGGGGAAGACGGCGACAACTATAAGGCAGAGGAGAAGTTCGCCAGAAGCGGGGAGGAGGCAGGACGAGTGGGACACAAGGGCCAGCGGCGGGGGACGGGAGAACGGGGGATGGGGGGAGGACGAGAATGCCGAGGAATGGGGGGGCGCCCTTCCCGTCTCTCCCTCTCCTGTCTTCTCGCATTCCTGCCCACATTATCCTCATCCTCGTCCCCCGTTTTCTTTCACCTCCTCCCTCCCTGCATCCTCCTCATCGACACGATTCACTTCCTCCTCTGACCCACCTGATAATGGTCATCCTCCCCAGCCTCCGTCCTTCCTCCTCTTAGTCGAGCCTCTTCCTGGCCCTCGCCCCTATTCCTCATCTCTTCCTCTTTCCCCCATCATCTGAATGCTCCCCTCCGTCCTTACCTTTCCGTTCTTCCGCCTCCATCTGGACCTCTTCACTCACCCCTGATCGATCCTTCTCTTCTTCATCCTCATCCTCATCATCATCACCCTCCCCTCAACCTCATTTCCATCGACGCCACCGACCGGAAGATGAAGACTATGGAGGATTGAAGCGAGCATGTGCCATCGAAGATGTGTGACCATGGCCAACTTTCGCTGGCTGCTGTAATCAGCTCGTGTCCACCAGAAGAACTACCATGATTCTGGGCGTAGCCCGATATTGTGTCTCGCGAGGTAAACTGACTGAACTGATCTGAACTGAAATGAACTGAAGCGAGCAGACTGGTCGCACCCGTTACGCGAAGGTTTTATTCTCGGCCGCGAAGGGCGCAACTTATGGCACATCCGATAGGAGACGGTTGTATTCCCGGCCGCCGAAGGCGCAACCTATGGTGCAACCGATCGGAGGCAGCTTTATTCTCGGCCGCCGAGGGCGCAGTCTATGGCGCAACCGATCGGAGACGGTTCTATTCTCGGCCGCCGAGGGTGCACCCTATGACGCAACCGATAGGAGGCGGTTGTATTCTCAGCCGAATAGGGCACAACCTATGGCGCAACCTATGGCGTTAAGCCGCTCTCTTGAGCCGCAAGCGGGCCAGCGAGGGCGTCGAGAACCGAGGTGCCAGGAGAAGGAGGATGAGCAGGAGGAGAAAGAGGAGAAACGAGGACGAGACCCTAGACGAGGACGACGAGTAGGAGCTAGAGCAGGAGGAAGACGAGGACGGCGAGGAGGATTAGGAGGACGAGGACGACGACGATGAGGATAGGGGAGGAGGACGGGGAGGACTATGAGTGGTACGAGGACAAAGTGTGGGCACTCGAATGCGTGCGGGGCTACGCCCGATGTGTGCTCGCCGCTTGGGCTGGCGGTTGGGCCCAAGCGGCGAGGTGCCTTGTGATTTGTCTTCTGCCAAGATGACCTGAGGGTGAACAATTGACAGTTGACCATCTGGCTCGTCAATGACCACACCGTTTTTGCAACGCCCCGCGCAAGCGTGACCGCGGGCATGCGGCAAGAGGGCAACCCTCGACATGTTTCTGCCGCGCAGCGCGCTCCCCCAGGCGGTCACCGCTGCGATCCACGTCTGCGGACGCTTCCAGCGACGCACCATTATACCTACTAAAGGGAAGAGGCGCAGGACAAGAAGAGACACACCTGGCGATGGGAGGACAGCAACTGTACATACGCCACACCGATTATGGCCAGGCTCATCCTGGACCCAGGGTCGGTGTATACGCCCTGCTGGGCACGTCGGCAAAAGTGGCATTCAGGGGGGGCTCCGCCACAAGAAACCTCAACAAAAAACCCAACCCTGGAATCCGCGATCTGTTCAGTGAATATGCAGATTCATCGATCGAAAACCGTCAAGATCTTATTGGCGGCCCATCAAAATCCAAGAAACCCAGGGCACACTGGCGAAATCTAACTGGTTTCTTGGCACGCGCCACCACTGTAAGACGAAAGGAAGGGACACGAGGGAGAGGAAAAAAAGAGATGCGCCACAGAAGCGGCAACTGCATTGGCCACACACCGAGGCCGAGCCAAGGCTGGACAATTCCCGCGCCTGGCTGGCAAGTCACGCCTCGACCCGACGCGGTCAGTTGCAGAAGGCTCCCTGTCGTCGCAGACGTGCAGCAGCGTGGGTTCCTACGCGAGCAGCAAGGGAACAAATCTGTGCTCAAGGTGTAACGGCAACCATGCGTGCACCACCACCACCACCAGGGAGGCCCCCCTCCTCGAGGAGACATCGTGGACCTCCTCGCTGGAGGTGGCACCCCTGGTAGTGGTGTCGTCGTTCTCTCCTCCAGCCAATCTTGGGCTGGCAACAAAAACCGATATCGCTTCTCCTCGGACCTCTCACCGGTTGCGTTCTGCCCAGAATCTCGACGCGGATCCAGCCGTGGCGAAGAAGGCCTCCCAGGAGGCCCCCAAAGGAGAAAATCAGAGAAGGGTCCTGGTATGGGTGCCTCTTCTTCCTCTTGCCATCGCTCGGACGTCCATCGTCCGTGCAGAATCTGGTTTCGCGCGTCCTCTCTTCTCAAGATAAATGCGCAATGCTCCAAGATGGTTCAGATCCGGCGGTGGACAAACCTCCCTTTAAAAACCCTCCCCCTAGTGAAACCGGCCTGGGACCGAAACCGACGGACCTGGGCCCGCAAAAATGACGGCCGCGACGCCCTCTCGCGAACCGAAAACGGCCAATTCGCGAATCCACGTGTCAGGGCAGGAGGTCTGCCCACCCCCGACAGATGTTCTGGCGCTGGCCTCGCCGAGGAAACCGCACACGTCCGAGCGATGCCACATCCCCGGAGTCTGCCCCTGGCCCCGCCCGTCCTGGGGGGCGACCCGCGCCGCGGCCCGCCGAGGCGCCCGCGGCCGTGGCCGCGGCCAGCAGGTGCGCGTGGAGGGTGAGGCCGGAGGCGCGGCACTTCTTCTGCACCTCTGGTGGCGCCGCGGCACTGCACGCGCGAGGGAGGGGGGGCTTCGGGGGCGTCGAGAACCTGGGCATTCACCGCCTCGGCAAAACGAAGTCCTGGGAGCACATACGAGGGCGGCGGAGATGGATATACCCGGGCCCCCAGGGGGGGACCACCAAATACATCCATATCGACCGCCTGCCGAGACCCCCGATGATCGTACCCCAGCCTGCGCCTCCCTGCTGACATCTGTGCAAGACTCTTCATGATGGAAACAGCCTTCGCGAAGAGAGTGATCTGATTGGGCGTACGTGCTGCAAGGGCAGTCGATGAACTGGAAGACAGGCTGCTGGAACCTGGAACCTCGAACACCTGCAATGAAAGTCGAAACTCCCCATACAGGATGCCGCTGCTTCCACGCCATCAGCATGAAGTGGACAGGGCAACGGCCAGTCAGTCGACTGATGGCTGGGGCCTTTGGAACACATGCTGCCTCGTGCCTTTCCGAAATACCATCCCGAGCCACATTAATACAACGACCACGCCCTTGGTGTCATCGACGGCGCCTTCGCACCCCATGGATTGGAACACTGGTACTCTGAAGAGATCCGCTGGTACACATCACGACCCCAAGCAAGCATGCGTTGAGCATTGTTCAATATGTCAATGAACACCTGCTGCACACTTGAAACTAACCCCATTGCCAATTACTGATGTAAGAGACTACCTTTTGCTGGAAGCCGGGACCATCAAACCCCTCACCGTACCAGCATCGGAGAACAAAAACATGTTGGACTGGAGGCGGGGGAAGATGCCGAAGGAATGGTGAGGACCAGGATATGGAGGAACATCATAGAATAGGATCGGGGGCTGACCCCAAGGACTGGTGATTGATGCATGCTTCAAAGGCACCTTGCACCAACCTCGTGCGCTCCTGAATCTCCGCAATGAGGGAATGGCACCGCTTAGCGGCCAGCCCTGCGATCTTGTGCACCTCAGGGGAGCTTGCGAAAGATCAAATCAACGAACCTGTAGCGGACCCGACTTAGACGTCGTCCAGAGATTGGCAACCAGTCCACGCATAGGAAACACGACATCAGGCTGCAGACACGATGAACACCAAGCTACGATTTACCAGGTAAAAATTCATACTATCTGGCTAAATGGCCTGAATTGAATTGCTTTGGAAGGTTGGGCGTCGCAACACTGTTGCTTAGCCGGTTTAAATACATTAGCAACCATGTCATTGTGATCTGTGTTTTACGTTTCTACGCTTTGCTCTGCTTTGATTTGAACTCCATTATCTTGCATAGCTTCTCATTGCATCGCCTTGCATTGTGCTGCTTCGCATGCATGTTCCAATGCACGGCGCTGAGTCGCGTCGACTTGTAGAAAAATGGATCGCCGCCGTCGTCGACGATCAGAAACCGAATGCTGTACCTCTCTCTTGGAAATCTGCCCAGTTTGGAATGTGTTGGGGCGTCCCAGTGGCATCTGTGGAGCAGGTGGAGTAGGATCAACCCTTTTGTTGAAATCCGGATTCAGATCACAAACAGCAAACAACACCTCCCAAACAAAGCAAAGTGAGCGCCCCGCAAAACACGTAGGGGTAACTACGGAACAGACCGAACGGCCATGTCGCACAAAACAATGCGCACACACTGTAGAGCTGAATCTACATTACGTGGCCACCAGTGCTATCATCATCGGCGAGCTACTCGAAGCTACCTCCTGGTTTCCCTGCCAATCAGTGGAGTTCGCTCCTCCCTGAAAGTCACTCCGCCGCCACAGATGCGGGGATTTCGCCAATCAGAGTTAGAGCCAGTCTGGAGGGCAAGCATAAGAGAAGGGAATGAACAAAGTGTTTCGACAAAAAATGATATTACCCGACGTGTCCACGATACTGTCCCGCTGATCATTTAAGGCGCTCGCGCACGAGATATCGCAACCATCAACACCTCAACATCGCGGTCGTTCTCGCAGATGAAATCAAAAGACCTCGGTCATCAAAGAAATACTCTGCCACTCTCGGAGGATACATCGGACACCCAGGAACTCACACGACATCTTCTTCTGGCATTTATGATGCGGCTCAAGCAATGGACACAATTTCTGGCGGCCGCATGTTGACAACTGGCATCTGGCACCTTCGCGTCACGATCTCTGTCCCAAACAGAAGGCACAACGAATCCAGCTCGAGACAAACATGACACACAAACACACATCTGATATCGAATCACGACGCAAACACCACATCTGCGATTGAGTGAATGTGGATCACGGGGATTACCGACACCACCTTACCCAGGGGGGAAGGCGAATCGATAGCAACAGCACATCTACTTGACAAACCGACATCGGCGACATGACGACTGCTTCTGTGGCTTAGAGAGATTAGAGCGCAAGAGCAGCCGTGGAGAATCACAAAAGGCAAAGCTGGACCCGAAGAGGCATAGACGCACTGACGATGTCACGCATCATGTCACAAGGGCCCTTCTGACTATATCACTCTGACAATGATTGACCTCGCTCGCAGGGCCTAAGATAGCAGACTCGGCGGCGCAATAGGCCAACCACAGCTGTTGGTTCGTCCTCTAAGCCATCGGCCTGGTCGGTGTGTTCAAGGTGAAGCAATGCTCAGGGCGAACAGTGTCAGGATATAGGGCCCAAGCACGTGCTGCGTGACCGTAGCAGATGTTGAGCACCTGACCAGTGCAGGCAAGCACTGGAGCAAGCCGAGGCGGCACAGTGTGGGAGCAAACAATGCGGATACATTCACGTGCCCGTGGCTGACGGCTGCAATTGTGTCCACAAGTGTCACACTAATTTGGACGCCACCTGACACACCGTAACATTTAGCCTGTTATTACGAGCTTGGCCAGATAGAGTCGGGCATTGGCATTTCGAACGTTGCCGGCTTAATCACTGGAACTGATCTGAGGTCGATGTTTCCCAACACTCCTGTGGTGTTGGGTCATCGCTTTGAAGAGACAGCACCCCGCGTTCCTCTCCCCCTCTCCTCCTCCCCCTCCCCCCTCCTCCAATCCCAGATCCCATCCATGCCTTTCCCCTCCGCACGTCATTGTGTCGGCACGCCCCGTATGAGCTTCGTGGTCCCATAGGGAGCTCCACCGAAGGTCTCGGTGGCAGCGCCCGCATGCGGTTCCACCCCCATTTCGGTGCACTCCTCACTCGTTTCGCGGTCCCGTGGGGAGCTCCAGCCAAGGCCCCCGTGGCAGCGCCCGCATGCAGTTCCACCATCCGCTTCGGCAAAACCCTCACACGGTTCGTGGCCCAGTACGCTTCGTTGTCCCATCGGCCGCTCCACCGAAGGCTTCATTTGCCCCTGTTGCTGGCCCCGCTCCTTCGTGCCATGTTCTCGTGATGCTCGCAGGCCACAGTGGCAGCGCCCGCATGGCGGCCCCGCCTCAGCTCGGCACGCCCTTCACGCGCTTCGCGGCCCCAGGAGAATATCCACAAAAGGCGATGCTCACAACGACGGTACTCACTGGGTCCTCCGACAGGCGAATGATTCTCCCCCATTGCTGGGTGGGGGGCTGTCAGGTCCCCGTGGAGGGGTGACGGTGATGTGTTCAGGCCCCGCGGGGGGGGGCCCTGGCCCTCGAACGACGGCGACGACGAGAGGACGTCAGCTGCCTCTGAAGGCCTCCGGATGCCTCAGCAGGTCTCGGACGGCCGCAGGAGGCGTCTGGAGGCGTCTGGAGGACCCCAGAGGCCCTCGGAGAAGACGACGACGACGACGACGACAACGACGGTGACGACGGCCGCCTCTGAAGGTCTTTTGAAGTCTCTGGAGGCCCCAGGAGGTCTTCGGAAATCTCTGGGAGCTTCTGGAGACCCTCCGATGCCTGTCAGGACCACGCCATCTCTGCGGGTACAACGCCATACCTGTGGGAAATCCGCCGCAAACACCCCCGTAATTGCGTTCGTTACCGTTACGGGGGGAAGAGGGAGGGGGATCCCCCCGTAACAGAAGTTACGGGTTCAAGGAATAAAGAAACTCTTTCTACATTCCTTCTGGAAGCTTGAATGCGCGTAAGATGCACAGGCATTTACAACTCCATTCTGCCAAACCACCACTGGAGGGAACTGCGTCTCACATCCCACAGCCTGGGTGATGGCATCAAACCATGTTGTTTCAGTTACGGAAGCCTCTCAATACATGCAGGTGCGTCTGTGCCCATACAGTGTGCGCACCACCTGGACATGGCCATGAAGGAGGCCCCGCGCGCAAGAGGGAAGTGGAGACGGAGGAGCGGCGACGTGGGGATGGTGCGAACGGCGCCGAATTCTCAGCAGGCAGCCGAAGTGGCAGGACGAGCGTGCACGTCCCATTCAGAGAGAATCGACAAACACACACACACACACACACACACACACACACACACACACACACACACACACACACACACACACACACACACACACACACACACACACACACACACACACACACACACACACACACACACACACACACACACACACACACACACACACACACACACACACACACACACACACACACACACACACACACACACACACACACACACACACACACACGAACACACTTGTTTCGTCAGCCGCGAGGCGGCAACTCCGCTCCAGCGAGAAGCTAGCAAGGGGCACTAACTAGCGAATTGGCCGGCGGGCAAAGAGAGGGGAGGGACGGCCGAGAGGAATAAGGGACGCTCAGACATCGAAGAGTTCGACGATGAACAGCGGGGGGGGCAGCAGCAGCCAGGTGCGCAGGGCCAGAGCGCGGCGGGCGCCGTGGCAAACCACGGTGGCAAGGGTGGCGGGAGGGCGGCTGCCAGCAGCTGGAGCTGGCGGGCGGGCGCAGTGGGACACCACGAACGGCAGAGGTACCGCGGCGCGCCGACGAGTAGGCACAGCACTGAGCACTGCGGAGGCAGGAGCAACGCAGCCAAAAGGCAGTGACAGAGGTATTGCGGCGTGACCGCCCAGGGGCGCGCCAGGAGGCCAGGGGGCCGGGGGAGGTGGGGCAGAAGGCGGCAGCCACTCACACACACACGCACACACCCGCACCCACACACACACACACACACGCACGTCAACAAACAAGCCCATTCCCCTCCGAGATGTCGTAAAAAACCGATCGGTCAGACGCAACCCGCCTCTGCTGGCAAACAACAAGCAACACAACATCACCACACACTTGTTCCTCGACCACAACGTACGGTCATCAACTAGGACGCGCCAAAGAACGGACACGCGCACACACGCACACACACAACATACACACATGTTTGCGTCGGCGGCTGGGCAGAGCGACTGCGCTGGCGGATGGAGCAAATGTAGGGCATACAAATGCGAATTGAGCCACGCAAACACACATGACCCCCCCCCCCACACACACACACACACACACACACACACACACTCACACACACCCACACACGCACACACACACACACACACACCCACGCACACACACACACACGCACACACACAAACACACACACACACACAAACACACACACATAAACACACACACACACACACACGCACGCACGCACACACACACAACACCAACAAAAAACACGCACACACAGACACACACACACAAAGAAACACACGCACCCACACACACACACACACACACGCACACACGCACGCACACACATACAAACACACACACACACATAAACACACACACAAAAACACACACACACACAAACACACACACACACAACAAAAAAACACGCACACACAAACACACACACACAGAAACACACGCACACACACACACACACACGCACACATACTCACAAACACACACACACACACGCACGCACACACACACACCAACACACACACACACACACACGCACGCACACACACACAAAACAAAAAAAAACAAAAAAAAAAAAAAAAAAACAAAAAAAAAAAAAACGCACACACAGACACACACACACAGAAACACACGCACACACACACACACACACGCACACATACTCACACACACAGACCCACGCACACACACACACGCACACACACAAACACACACACACACACAAACACACACACACACAAACACACACACACACACACACGCGCGCACGCACGCACACACACACAACAACAACCACAGACAACACGCACACACACACACACACACAGAAACACACACGCACACACACATACTCACAAACACACACACACACACGCACGCACACACACACAACCACACACACACACACACACACGCACGCACACACACACACAAACACAAACAAACAAAAAAAAAACACGCACACACAGGCACACACACAGAACACACACGCACACACACACACACACGCACACATACTCACACACACACACACCACGCACACACACGCACACACACACAAAACACACACACACAACACACACACACACACACGCACGCACGCACACACACACACACAACAACAACAACAAAAAAACACGCACACACAGACACACACATACACACACACACAGAAACACACGCACACACACACACACGCACCCATACTCACAAACACACACACACACGAACGCACACACACACAAACACACAAACACACACACGCACACACACACACACGCACGCACACGCACACAAAAAAACACAACAAAAACGCGCACACACAGACACACACACAGAAACACACGCACACACACACACACACGCACACATACCCCCACACACACACACCCACGCACGCACACACACACACAGTCGACAATGAGCCAAGTAGGTCACATTGCGTCCAATTCCATGTCGAAGGAATACGATATGGGGCGTGGATGGGCAAGATAATATAAGATCGATGTATCGGTCTTTCCAGCACATAGCGAATACCAAGTCAGGTATCCAGGGCGAATAGGGCGCGCGTGCCTTGAGCCAACGGGAACGGCGCGCGAGCTACACTCCCGATTATGTATAACATCTGCCAAAGAGCTACCCTTAAAGTCGGGAGGGGAGGAGACGGAGAGTATAGCCGCGCAGCCGTTAGGCTCTACAAAGGCCGCGCGCGCGACTGTTTGCAAGAAAAACAGTGCGTACAGTCTGGCCTAACACCAGACTGTAAGGCGAGTTTCCTCGCAAATACGAGATGCCCCCCTCGGACGTCGAAGGGCTATCGGCTCGGCTAGAGGCGAGCCAAACGGGCTACACCTCACCGAGCAAACGGATATTATGGCAAAGAGCCTGATCCAAGCTTAACAGGCTCGTCGCCAAGCGTGAAATGACAGGCTCGTTTCCGAGCACCTAGAAGGGCGCCCCTGTATTGGGCGCCCATGCTGGCAAACTGGACCGCGGGGGCAACAAGGACTAAAACTGATTAGACGTAGGCTTGTTTCTGTCCTCGGGGCCCCGAAAGGGAACAAACTGCTTCACGTCATACTTAAATGACTGAGTGCCTGACATCACTTCCAAAAGCAGCTCCCGATCGATGCTCCCCTTGGTATGCCCATCTGCGGTCATATCTCTAGTATCACACCACTGCACATTATGCACTATGCCTATATCCATGAGCTCACGTATCCAGCTGATATGTCTAAGCAAGGTCGTTCTGTCGGTATCTTAAGATCCTTGCTTGAGAGCGATTTATAAGCCGACTCAGCGTCTATGGTAAGAGATACTTTAATGGCTAGGCCCCCAACTTCACGCATCTCGTAGTTGTCGTGG